AGTAGATTAATCTTCATTTTTATATCAAACACCTCAAATGGTTACATCAAATACCTCTATGCAGATTGCACTTGAGTAATCAAGACAAATAATTTTATAATAATGGACTTTAAAATTGGAAATTAATTTGTAATGTATTAGATAAGGATAAGACTTATCAGACAAAGAAGATAATGTGAATTAATTAATTAATTAATTTAGTTTTAATCTAGATTTTTCTTTGTTATTTTACTTAATCATGTTTGTTAGATCTTAAACATTAGCAATAATTATTCATTTCTTGGGTCAGGTGTTATCTATGTCTGAATCTCTTACACACTACTATAATCAAACTTCAAACCAAATTTCACATGTGAGGGGCTTATTGGATATTAAAAATTAAAATGTATTAAAAAAAAAAATTCAGGCAAGTTACATACGCTTCAATTAATTCCCTGGGATATTAAAACTATCGACCACTTGAGACCTTAAAATTATCGGTTTGATAAGATCTCTAATGATCACCCCTATTAAAAGCCATGAGTATTCCAATTTGAAAAACTATGTTAGATCTTTATTTTATTCTTTTATCATTAAAAAGACTTGAACTTGGGAGACCCTATTATATCTACTTTACTTTTTAGGATACTGTATTATATCCTACCTTACTCTTACACCATCAAGTATGGGGAAAATGAGAGGGCATGCAATTAAAAGGGGTCGTTGAAGGTAACTTTGCAACTTACAAACACTGAGGTTGAGTCATTAAAGCGAAGAGAATCTGGTTCGATTCTTAAAGAGAAACAATGGCATACAGCCAAATGTTTCTTTCATGTTGAGGTGCATGTCCCCTCATTTTGTTTACTGATGAAAAAATTAATAATTGAATATGCTACACATACATCTTTCTATATAATATTTTTCATATAATATTATATGACAATGTGATTGGGTGAAGTTTAATTTTAACTTTAAATTAACCAATCATATTTTACCATATAATATTGTATGAAAAAATATTAATGAAAATGATGTATGTGTAGTATTACTCTAATATGATAGATCTGCAGCTGTTTCAATCAAAATGCAATCATTCAAAGATTTTATAAATTTTACAGTAGAAGAGTTGACATAATCAATAAAAGAGCAGTTTCTCCTTGCATACTAAAAAATATGCAGTTGCTTTGGTTAAATTTTGAGTGAAGTAGATCCTGAAATCGCAATTGCATGTGGAAATTTAGGGAGGCATGGAAATGCTAACAGGCAGCTCCTAACAAACCTAACGAATAAAGGACTCTGACAATGGTATTAAAAAGGGACCAATTATAAGCAAAGCAATAACAAATTGCAGTGCTTGGAAAAGGACTGTTCCTCTTTTCTCATGGGAGCTCTCTTCAGAGAAAAAAAAGGACTGAGATAGGCCCTGAGGGAGGATGTCATTAACATTCTTGCAGAACAAAAGACAACACAAAGAATAGACTGGTCAGGGGCCATGGGAATGGACCATTCTACTATCTTCATTTGAAATTTAACCCCTTAGTAATATATATTTGAATTTAATATCACCATGGGGTATCTCCAGACCTTTAAAGCTTGAAAAGGTTAAATGGAGTCATTAGAGGAGGATTAAAAGCTGAGCAAGAGTTCAATACGTTACTCATTATGCTGATGGCTTACTGAGTTGTTGGTGAGTCAGCCATGGACTGGATTTGGGGACCAGTTTGAATCAAGTCTCAGTGACCCCAACAGAAAGACAATAAAAGGAGGCTTCAGGTCCAAATGAACTCCCTCGGAGTTGGATCCAAAAGGAATGTTTTGCTTCTAAGGCTCCTATGGAAACCTGCAGTCATAGAATAGAGGCCCATATTTCAGTCAGAACCCTAAAAAATTGAAACGGGTTCACACCTCAACTTGTGTATCAGTGTTTTTTTTCCTTTTAATTCTAAGCTCATCACAACCAAAAATTTGTGCTAAACCAGAATTAGGTTTAAATAAGTCCTGCTAAGAGAAGTTATGATAGACATCGGCAGTAACTCGTTTTAATGAACTATTTGTATACATGTTCTACTAGTAACACTGCCGAAAATCCGCTTTATGTGCAAGGCAAGCGCAATAACCGCGAGTAGAATGAAGTCTGGTTTAATTGTTCACAAATGCCACTCTTGCAAGAAAAATTGAGACTGGCAGTACCGTTCTGGAATCGAAATATTTGAGAGAGTACACGACATATTCCCCCCCAAGGTTTGACGAAATCCTAAGTTGGTACCACAGGTTTCATTTATTCTAGATTCAACCCTAAAGTAACGGAAAATGATTAGATAAACGACTCAGGGGTAAATTGGTCATTTCACAGAGGAGGTGCACATTAGCAGATCACCGCCCTTAACAAAAATGGCGCACGTTAGCAACACCGTCTTCGTTTTCGCTCTTTTCTGGCAATTCTTCCCCCAAAATCACCCTTGTCACCACCATTCGAACCCTCATCCTCCCCTCTACAAACCAACAACCTTGACAACCCCTCATCGCCCGCCGATCTCCACCACGACAGCCGCCACATGCGACTGTTTTCGTCGATGTCCACTAAACGGTTGATGGGACATAGGGGTTTTGTAGATTAGGAGACGCTGGTTGCAGTGGTGACTTCGAATTAGATTTTCGTCGCCAGAATCGATCGGAATCCGGCGAGAACGACAAACCTAAGCTTGACGGCACGGCGATCGGACGACCCATGAGTAGGGAACCAGAGGGATTTTGGACGAAGGATGATGGGGAAGGTGATGGTGACCGTTTTGCCGACATCAGAAATAGCCCAGATCCGTTGAAACCAGACGTGCACAGTCACTGGGGTGTAATTGATGTAATTTCAAAATAAGATGGCTAATTTATAATTTTAATAATTTAGGGCATTATGATAATTGCACCCTCATTATCCTAAAAAAGTTAACAATGTTATTTTAAGGGTGGAAATCTTGAATAAATGGAACATGTGGTACCAACTTGGGATTTCGTCAAACCTTGGGTGGGATATGTTGTTTACTCTATTGAGATGATAAATTTGCAAGTGAAGTCCTTGATGAACAAAATGGGGTCGTTCAGTTCTATTTAGATATGTAAATGCAATTAATGGATGCTTCAAGATGATTCAAAAGGGTTTTTTACAGATAGTGAAAGTTCTATATCCTACCGTTTTCATCTTAGTTCGTACTTCATGAGAATCGGAGTAGTTGCAAAGGGAAAGTTTCCAGACTTGGGTTCAGCTAAGTTAATGAAACGCAGCTTGCCCATTTCGTCCTAAGATACATAAAGTAAAATTTGATGTTTAATGGTCGGGACTGCTCCTGGAAAGAAGAAGCCCTTTCAATTATTGGTCAAACAGTGTGTTAGGCCAACATTGGTCAGTTCTAATGTTAGCCATTCAACAAAGTTTCATAGAATGTCATAGAAGATTTACCAAGTAGATTATAATTTGATGGCCCTACAAGAAGCTTACTGAGACAACATAAAATCAGTTGAACTGGAAGTGCTGCATCAATCTCTTATCAAAATTAGGAGGCTGTACCTGTCTTTACAGAGCTCAGACGATGGCAAGTTCCTATCCCAGTAAGAGTTTGTCGAAAGTCAACCCATCCTCAATTGGGCCATGGTCCATCGACTGGTAACGGCTACTTTGCTTAAATAATTTAAAAGGTTTTTTGATAGTATAATATTTTTCCTTAAGGACAGGAGGAGTGAGAGGAGACTCGGAGAGTGGATGGTGATGCAAATGAAACTGAAGTAATTACTTGTTTACAGAAGTTGACAGAGGCAGTGAATGCTGAATGGACAAAATAAGGAGATAAAAGAGAAAAGAAAAGAATAAAATTGAAGGAACATAAATGAGAGTGAAGAAGATGGGAAGAATGCAAGGAGGCATTAATGGAGAAGACAAGACCATTAAATATTTGCTGAGAAAGCAACCTAATGGCTTGCGTTTATCGCTGCAATTGTCTTTCCCTCATCTTTTCTTCAGACTGCCTTCATTCATCGCTTAGACTTATCGCCTGCAACCCACTCCCCGATCCCATTTAATGCTCTCTCTTTCTCCATGTGTGTGTGTGTGTTTGCGCGCGCGCGCGCGTAAAGTAAATGTAAAAGGATAAAATATATAAAAAAGACAAAACTTTACCGCAGTCCCCATGAACAAAACCATGGTTTTTTTTTTTTTTTAAAAGGCCAAAAACATATTTAGTGAGAATCCATCAAGTGATTAAACAGGCAAGAAAATGCCTATCATGGGAGTTGATATTAGATTCTCATTGTCTTATTCTTCATAATTGTAGCTTGTTGAACTCAGAACCCAGTTGTTGAGTGGGATTGTTGAACACTGAACTGCTGCCGGCTGATGAGACCTCCGTTCCTCCTGTTTGTGAGGGCACTGAGAAGTAGAAGATGATGTTTGCAGCTTCCTTCATTGATGGTTTTTTGTTGACGGGGTTCTCATTGGTGGCGGTGCTGCACAAACTGGGATTACTGATCTAATTTGAACTGCTGTTGCAATCCTGTGAGGATTGAATCCTCCAGTGTACATACTTCTTGTCATGTGAGAAGCTAAAGGTGTCTTAATCGGAGTTGATGTAGTGACTGGAGATGGATTTAGTGACCCAAAAAGCCTATTATTTTGATGTGGGTTGTGTTATTAAGCATAGAACTGTTAACTTGCTGGTACTAGGTTGACGAAAGGCTGTATAAAGAACTTATTCCATAGACTACTTGAATTTGAATTGCTTGAACCCTCCTTTTCGATGTGTTTCTTGATTAATCTTGTTTCCCACCAAGCCATTCTTCCTCATCCCTTTGATGTTCTTCCATTATTGATTTGCCCTTAACTTGCTGTGGAATAGCCTATTTGATGGGTAGGCTAATGTATGTGAAGTTGGTGGTAAGATCTTTGAAGTTGATCTAGGTGGAGGTGGAGGAAGAAGAGATACAAAGCTGTTTTGTTTTTGTGTTTGAAGTTGAACCATCTAAACCAGAAGAATCCATTAACAGTCCAGGAGCCTCCACGGTTGATGCAGTAAAGAACTAGTGGAGAAGGCGACATTCTCTCTAGGACCCCTAAACATTCTCCTTCTCGCTTGGTTTTGATCCCTCCTCCTAGCATTTCTGTTTTCATATTTAGTTCTAAAACTTGACAGAACCCTTGCCACAATAGCTTGATCCTGTTCTTCACGAATCTCTAAATCTTATTTGTCAATGAATCCAAGTTTGCACTGCACAAATGGGTATTGATATTTTAATGATGCCAAATGCTAATGTCTATAAGAGAAAAATACCAAAAAAAAAAAAGGGGTAACAGATATACTTCTTTTCAAGGCAGACCAAGCTGCAATTGCAGCATTCTTCTCAGCCTGCTTCTTTGTCTTGGTTTCACCTGTAAAATTCATACCAGCAAGCTCCACAGTGCAAGTAAAAATGGGGACATGACCGGGGCCTGATCTCACGGTGGTATATACAGGGAGGTTCAATCCAGCCCTGTGAGCAGTTTTCTTGAAGAGATTCTTATAAATTCCAGTCTCATCCTTAATTACATACCAAAAGAGAGAAACAAATAGATGGTAGAAATAATTGAACAGAATGTTCCTCTTAAACCAATAAGAACAAATGACCTACAAGAATTCTGCAGTTAGAGACCTTGAAGGACCTCTTGTAGAGAGTACATTGAGAGCAACTTCAGCAGCTGCATGCTCAGCCTGTCTTAATGTGGTACAGTAGCTTGGACTTTCAAAGATCTCACCATTAAAATTTACTGAAGCTTTGAATCTTGGAGCGTGATCAGGGCCTTCTCTCTGACGCAGGCATAAGAAGGAAGATTGAACAGCTTCTTTGTGCAAGTTCCTGCAGTTGATTCTTAAACATATCTGCCATAAAACAAATGAGAGGGATATGAAAACCACACACCAACCAAGGACTGAGAAGAAGAACAAACTTTAAAACTCCTCAAAACAAGACAAAAAATGAAAAAACTCACCTACTTCACCTTATTTCTCACTCCTACATTGGCATGGATGTGTGTGTCTCAGTACAAAATCATCTGAAACTAATGTACTCTATTCCAAGAACAAAAAGAAGACAGTGAAGTGAAAACTGTTAAAATAGAAGAACCTTAAGCTAAAAGGTTTTAAAAAGATCAAGTACCTCTGTTTCTTTTTCTTTTAACTTGGATTTTATGACGGTTTTTAATTCGAGAAAGCTTTCCCAATGGAATAGAGCACAGTTTCTAACAGTTAAAAAGCCAAGAATTAAATTGCCCTTGTGGGGGGTAGGGGGTAATTTGACAATTTAGTTAGAGTTAGGGAATGAAAATTACAGAACACTCCCTGTATTTTCTGAGTACTGTTATCTAAAAATAAAGGAAAATCACCCGTTTTCAAAAGCCCATTTAAAAAATGGATTAAAATAAGAAAGACAAAATTACCCTTATTCTAAGTATCACTAAACTAAACAAACTACAGTCACGTAAACTTCATTCATTTCTGCCTCCCAATTGAAATTCGAAATTTAAGAGCAAAATTTCTTCAGTTTCAATTGAAGTGAGTCCTCAATGGAGTTTGCTTATGTATTACCTGGGGTGAAGAGACGATTACACTGTGATTGATTTTTTTTTTTTTTTTTTTTTTATTTATGGGATTGGAAGAAAAATTAAAATTCCTCTAGTTTCCATTGTATGATGACGATTCGTTTCACCCAAACTTAATAAGCGCATTCCTTGTTGTTTTTGTATGGTTCTTGAGATTTTTTGCATTTGGATGAAAACAAATTTGGTTTTAGTTTATAAAAAAAAAAAAAAAAAATTGATTTAGGTTTTAGGGTTGTTTTTTGCATGGTTATTGAGATTTTTTGTCACTATGAGATTAGTTGTTGATATTCGTGGGTGTTGTTTCAAAACTTTGTTGATCAATGGTTCAAATATGGAAACCATGGATGATGAATGAAATCTAACGGATCTGTAGTCGGTAAAGTCTTGTTTGCTTGGTTAATTGGACTCTAGTGTGTTTGAAGATGCTAGAGTCTTGTTAGCCTAGTCCGACTAGACTCTAGCGATATTGAGGTAACAAAAAAAAAAAAAAAAAGATTTAAATTAAGTAATTATAAATTTTGTTACAATAATGACATATTAATTATTTCACATTAAATTTTTAAATATAAATCAATTATTATATACCTAGAATTAAGAAGAAAAAAAAGTTACTTATGTAATAAATAACTATTATAAAGTAAGATTTAAGTAATTAACACGTTATGTAAGACGAATAATCCGATTTAAATAATTTGATAAAATTTGTTCTATAACTAATTTACTGGAGAAATTGTTAAACAAATTTATAGGATGTGTTTATGGGACTTTTAGATATGAATATAAAGTTTAAAGGGACTTCACTACACAATGTGTTATTGAACGAAGTACATATTCCTGATGCTTTGCCAATGGAGATTGATTGAGGTTGACGGTAGAAACTTAGTTTGGACATTATGAGTTTGGGTTATTCTCTGGACTACATTTTGGAACTATCCAGAAGAAATTTTGATGAATATACATAAATAGTACATGTGAAAACCAGGATTTAGTACATGATGTCAAGGTATATTCTTTCTCGCATGAACATAGTCATTATGACCTATAAACAAATAATTTCATTATAAAACATTTCACATTAAGTTAATGTTTAAGTATTAATATAATTAAAAGTTTTGTTTTTATATCACAATATCTCAATGTACTAATATCAAATATAATTAACTAATATATAGTTGTATATATCAAACTAACATTATCAATTTTATCACATAAAACTAATTCTACGATATGTTATAAATTAATAATAATTATTCTTATTACCGTTTTTTTTCTCATTTTGCTCATTTTAAAGTAAAACAATAAATTATTTTTACTCGAGCACTAGAATATGTTCAACTCTTGCAATTCAAGTGCCACTGGACGAATAATTCTAACGTATGAGAAGTGACGAAAAAATGATTTTGAGTTTGAAAAAAAAAAAAAAAAAAAGTAAAATAATAAAACAAACGCAGCCCCTAGGTTCCCCAAAATGCATATTTGTTCCCCAATTCTCAAAATTCAATCTTATTACAGTAAAAAACCTCTCTATAGTCATAATGGTATGATCAACTAATTTTATTACTATAAGGAGGTTATAACTTAATGGAGGTGTAATTACAAAAATTATAGTTTTGATTTCTTATTTTTTAATTCATGTTTTAGTAGTACAACATTAGGATTTCAATTCATATTTTAGTAGTATTAGGATTTCAATTCAGTCCTTCAATTGCCTATTTTTGAAACGGATAAAAGACCGTGTCTTGGAACCAGCAAAGATAAGTGTTATTGATGGAACTATAAATACAATTGATTCATGGTCAATTGATGTGAAGTCATAGATAATTGCCAATGGTTTTAAGCATTGCAAAGGACCCCCGATTTCGATGAATTGCAAGTTATAAATGAAGTGGATGAGAAAAATAAAAGAGTCATTACAAAATTGAGTGATCAGATTCGACAATTTCACTATACTAATCAAATTGATATTAATGTCTTCCTCGATTATCCAAATGAGCAACAAATCGTGTATGCTTTAACCGAAGAAGAAATCATTGCTATAATTAGACAAGAAGATAAAGGAAATAATCCTAAGGTTGATAGTACGGAAATACAAAAAGTTTTGTGTCATAAAACTCTAAACATGCTTGAGAAACTAAAATATTTTGGCTTCAACAAGAAGGTGTCATGTTAGCAAGTTATTACATATTAGCAAAATAAAAGATGTGATAACAACTCTAAAATATAAATCATTGTCCCAAATAACTTTAGATAAATATTTTATTTCATCTTGAACCTTTAATATAACATAACATATATTTTTTGGTAATATACAAATAATTATTACTATGTGAAGACAACTTTTCTGAAGACGGGAATTAGAAAAATTATAACTTATTACAATGTGAAGTTTATTTTTATTTATAACTATCCCAAATTAGGACTATAATTTTTTATAACTATGTAGAGTTTATTTCTATATAGAGTATCACTATAGAGAGGTTTTACTGTATATTCAATTATTTTTAAACCCCTTAGGTTTGTTAATTTGCTAAACACCCCCTATAATAAAACATTAAAAATTAACAAAAACACTCCACCCACCCATTAAATGCCAGCAGCGGGCCACTACCACCGGAGGGTGGTTGGAAGTCACCGTAATGGTACATGATTGGTTGGATCTGGCCGGTTGTACGCCGATTTGATCGAAAAAGGTCAGATCTATGACCAAAGATCTAGCCATTGAAGGCTAGATCTTTGGCCACATTTGGTTGTCAATGACGGCCAAGATATGGCCATCGTTGATGGTATTTTCTGGCTAAATCCATGTTGGATCTGATCGAAAAAGGCTATATCGGTGCACGACTAGCTAGATCCAGCCGGTTGTGTGCCATTACAGCGACTTCCGACCACCTTCTGACGGTGATAGCCAGCTGCCGGCATTTAATGGGTGGATGGGGGTGTTTTTGTTATTTTTTAATGTTTTATTGTAAAGGGTGTTTAGCTAAATTAATAAATCTATGGGGTGTTTTTATTATTTTTTAAATCTCATCTCGTAATAACAACCCAACTCAATTTTTTTTTAAAATACTACTCAAAATAATAAACCAAACATAGCCTTAAGTTTTGTGAAGTGAGAAGATAAGTGAAGAGAAAAGATAAGCGTGGATGAGTTATAATAAGGGCAATTTTGCCGAAAATCAATGTCAAAGGTCTTATACATAAATCAACTTAAAAAGAGGTCAAGTTTTGAAATTGGCTTTTAAAAAGGGGTCATTTAAGTGATTTCACAAAAATAAAACTAGCTTGATTATGGTCCAGACTTTGAGTTCACCAGACAGATGCCTCATTACATTTGACTTTCAGATTGTCATAAGTGTTGTCTAGTCATCACATGAGGTGAATCGAGACATATGATTGGCTCAAATACTAAAGTTTGATTCGTTTGTGCTTGGAGCTTATTTGAGGACATTTACCCATTTGACCCCATAATTTGAGCTAAACAATTTTAGATTGGTAAAGTAAAAAGTAAATAGAATTATTTACTATCTAATATTGTTTGTTTCAATAATGTTGTGTAGGGCAAGCATTGAATTGGGTGGTGAGGTAAGCCAGAGTTAGACCAGTCTAGTAATGGTCCAGTTACCCTTCACCATAATGACAATGATTTTAAAAGACTGTAGCACAGAAAAACATTGGATCAACTAGGTACCCGCCCGGTTGACCACATCCAGAATCAAAGACACAATCGATGAGCCCCTAAACCCTAATGCTTTATGAAGTGATTGATTACAAATTTGAATTAAAACTTTTCAAGTTTTAACCAGGATCGGATGTGAACGTAATTCATTGTTGCCTTTGACAATCAAACGTTTTCACTTGCCTTTCCTTTCTGGAAAGTCAGAAATCGGAGAATCTGTCTTTGTCTGCTCTTCATTGAGCCTAACAATTATCGAATCAGATGATGATGTTACCAGTCAGCAAAATTTTGATTCAACTAATTCAATTTCATTTCCATCATTAATGCAGGCTAAGGTTGGGAACAGGGACAAGCTAAATTTTGGGCAACTCAACATTTGTCCCAATCAATAAGGAGAGCCTAGTGACACTTGAACTAAATCCATATATTATAGTCACCGGAGAGAGGGAAAGATATCTAATGTCACTGACTGAATCCACATATTCAATACAGTTAGATACTAACTAATTCCACAAATACAAAATCAGGACAAAGAAAGCTCACTCATACAACACACACCATTTCTTCTTAAAAACCATAATGGCCAAACCAACACTTTCAAACACCCTGCCAAAACAAACCTCTTCCGTATTGCATTCTGCAACTGATATGATACTCATGGAATTTAAATAAAGATGAATGAGGAAACCTCCAAGATTGCAACTCTTAAAACCACCAAACCAGATTACTTCCATTCCTACAATCCATCTTCTGTCACAGCTCTGGCTATGTCTGTCTATTCTCAGTCGTCAAGTTGCTGCCATTACTACAACTCCCACCTGCACGGTTTGATTCCCCCACTCTAGCAGCCAAAGCAAGAACTTCAGGTGACATGTCCCAGCTTCCACTCTTTCTTCCCCAACTAGATCGCCTAGGATGTATTCCAGCACGCTCCCCTTCTTCCACCGTGGTCCTTATGTCTGGGGACAATTCAGCTAGTTCACCATCTTTAACATTTACTCGATCGTTGTTGTTAAGTTGCCCTTCAGAGAGATCAGCCCCAGGGCCAATATCTCCCCACACTGTTTTCCTACCCATTTCGATGTCATCCACAGCTTTGCCCATATTTGGACTCATAAAACCCCCACCCACTGGTCGAACTGGTAACCCAGGTTCCCTTGGCACCTTTGCTCTGAAATTGTTCTTTGACGAGGGTATGCTTGAAAAAAATATTTCATTGAAGTTTCCCATCAACCCTTTGTTATAGGGGTTGATTCTCCGATCATATCGGTATCTAAAATTCTCATAAGTAGTCTACAAAAGTAAGACAGATAAGGGGAAAGTTTTACAAATTAGAACACTAGAATAAACACAATAGCGGATGAAAGGATTTTTTAACAGCAGAGGAAGAGAATCTTACCTGATTTGTACTAATGAGATATAAATGAAAGGCAGTAAGGCCACCAACAAACCACATAGATATGAAAGTGTAAACTATTAGAACGATTGATGCAGGGGTTTTGATCATGGCTCTCCAAATTGTTGTCTCCTCCGAATCCATTATCCTCCTGATGTAGATCCAGCAAAATGCGAAAACATATATACAAAGAAGGGTAGTCGAGAAGACAAATATGAAGAAAAATCGATAATTCCTCTGCAGTAAAAATAGAAAATTTTCAGATCATTAATTAAAGTATGCATGTCATGAGTCATGTTGGTGAAGATAAGTCTAAAACACCATAAGACCAACTCCAACAATCTTCAACTTCCAGCATTTTAAACAATTTTAATCTACATAATGGTCAAGTTTTAGAAAAAAGAATCATAGGCTCATGAGCTCCAACTCATCAGACTTTATGGGAGCATCAAGAGTGGAAATGTATGTTTCACCCTCCATTCTCCTTCTTCAAGACAGACCAAACAAGATATATACAAGCTCAAGAAGTTTGGGCACACGTATTGATAGCCTCCCACCAAAGTATTTCACTAATAAAACATCTAAAAGAATATGGGCATCATTCATCCTCTCCAAAGGTAACTGACACCTTCTAGCCAACTAGAATACTAATGAACTCAACAATGCTACTACTATGTGCTCATCAAAAAAGAAATGGGGAAAATAACTAGTAGAAGGAACATTACTCAACAGATCTCATTAACATACTTCTGAACAAATGATCACTTACCAGCCCAATACATTGCCCAACCCAAGGGCAGTGGTGATCAAAACGTTCCACACAGTTATTGCAAATTGAGCAGTGTGAGCAGCGAGGAGGTCTATAAAGCATGCAAGTATCACAATATTTAATCTTCATCGTGACCCCATTGACCTCCACTTCCTTCACACGAGGCAAACGTAACTGTGGAGTTTGGCCAGCCCCAACATCTACACTCCCATCAAAGCCTTCTGGCTCTGGAGGGTGTGCATTGCGTGGAATTATACCAGGATCTCTTCCCGATGTCAACAGAAGAAGAAGTAAATCCTGAAATATCAAACATGAGTCAGGGTCCAGCATGAAAAAATTAAATTAACTTCACTTCAAGGTTAACAGGTAACTGATAAAGTTTGTTAAAGCTTCACATACAGGGCCCATGAAGGCCTCCTAGTGTTGATTGAGGCAAATTGAGTTAGAAAACAATACAGAAGAAACATCACAAGCGAAGAAATGCAAACATGAACAATATGCAAGGTGCAGATGCCTGTGTCAATGACTATGATGTATATTGAACTTGTTTAAAAGGGAGTTGAAATGTTGATGATAAACTACAATTTTACTGTTCCAGAAAGGTGACAAGAAATGGCAAACCAGCCACTACCATTCCTAGAAATGGACACAGCAGAAAGCACATTCCTCTTCTAAACATTTCACAGCGGTAAGACATGCACTGTATCAACACAACCATAAAATCCTATTACTTGACAAGATCTTTCAACCATTCATGCAAATCAAGCCCACTCTTTACCCCCAGTGCATCACTCCCCAGATTCCTCCATAACTCACCATGCTCATTCCTCTGCCTCTAGGATTAAAGACCACAAATTTTGTCCAAACTATCAATCCTATCATAGAAACCCCTAAAGTCGGCTTGCAAAGCTAATCTTAGCAACTACCCAACTTGCTCATGAGTAACAGGAAATCCAGAGCCAGTTCCTACTCATTTGGCACATCATAAGGAATATAACAAGGCAACAATGATCTCACGGTGGTATATACAGGGAGGTTCAGTCCAGCCCTGTGAGCAGTTTCTTGAAGAAAATCTTATAAATTCAGTTCATCTTAATTACATACCAAAAGAGAGAACCAAAATAAGATGGTAGAAATAATTGAACAGATATGTTACTCTTAAACCAATAAAGAACAAATGAACTTACAAGAATTCTAGCAGTTAGAGACCTTGAGGACCTCTTGTAGAGAGGACATTGAGAGCAACTTCAGCAGCTGCATGCTCAGCCTGTCTTAATGTGGTACAGTAGCTGGACTTTCAAACATCTCACCATTAAAATTTACTGAAGCTTTGATGGAGCGTGATCAGGGCCTTCCTGATGCAGGCATAAGAAGGAAGATTGAAACAGCTTCTTTGTGCAAGTTCCTGCAGTTGATTCTTAAACATATTGCCATAAAACAAAGAGAGGGATATGAAAACCACACACCAAACCAAGGACTGAGAAGAAGATACAAACTTAACTCCTCAAAACAAAGACAAAAAAATGAAACTCACCTACTTCACCTTTTTCTCACTCCTACATTGGCAGGAAGTGTGGTGTTCAGTACAAAATCATCTGAAACTAATGTACTTTATACCAAGAACAAAAGAAGACAGTCAAGTGAAAAATGTTAAAATAGAAAAACCTGAGCTAAGAGGTTTTAAAAAGATCAAGTACTTGTTTAAGCTAAGAGGTTTAAAAAGATCAAGTACCTCTGTTTCTTTTTCTTTTAACTTGGATTTTATGACGGTTTTTAATTCGAGAAAGCTTCCCAATGGATAGAGCACACATTTCTAACAGTTAAAAAGCCAAGAATTAAATGCCCTTAGTGGGGGGTAGGGAGTTATTGACAATTTACTTAGAGTTAGGGGTATGTCAATATTACATAAAACTCCCTGTATTTTCTGAGTATTAAAGCGTACCTGATTGTTTATCTAAAAATAAAGAGAAAATCACTTGATTGACCCGTTTTCAAAAGCCCATTTAAAAAATTGATTAATAAATAAGAAGACAAAATTACCCTTATTCTAAGTATCACCTAAAACGTCACGTAAACTTCATTCATTTCTGCCCAATTGAAATTCGAAATTTAAGAGCAAAATTTCTCAGTTTCAATTGAAGGGAGTCCTCAATGGAGTTTGCTATGTATACTTGGGGTGAAGAGACGATCACAATGTGTGTTTTGTTTTTTTTTTATTATGGGATTGGAAGAAAAATTAAAATTCCTCTAGTTTCCATTGTATAGATAAATGATTCGTTTACCCAAACTTATTAAGCGCATTCCTTGTTGTTTATTGTATGGTTACAATGATGACATATTGAATTATTTCACATTAAAATTTTAAATATAAAATTCAATTAATTAATATACCTAGAATTAGAAGAAAAAAAAAGTTACTTATGTAATAAATACACTATTATAAAGTAAGATTTAAGTAATTAACACGTTATGTAAGACGAATAAAGCCGATTTAAATAATTTGATAAAATTTGTTCTATAACATAATTTACTGGAGAAATTTGTAACAAATTTAGAAGGACGTGTTTATGGAGACTTTTAGATATGAAATGAAGTGTAAAGGGACTTTACACACAATGTGTTATGAACGAACACATATTCCTGATGCTTGCCAATGGAGATTTGATTTGAGGTTGACGGTTAAGAAACTTAGTTTTGGACATTATGAGTTTGGGTTAATCTCTAGACTACATTTTGGAGCTACCCAGAAGAAATTTGATGAATATACATAAATAATACATGGGAAAACCAGGATTTAGGACATGATGTCAAGGTATATTCTTTCACAGCATGCGAGAAAGAATTGAAAATGGTTTGTCTTTCAAAATATAGATATACTTGTAACTGACGCAGGAATGAGTATGACATAGTCATTATGACCTATAAAGTATAAACAAAATAATTCATTAATAAAACAATTTACATTAAGTTAATGTTTAAGTAATTAAATAATTAAAAGTTTTGTTTTTATATCAAATATAATTAATTAAATACAGTTGTATATATCAAACTAACATTATCAATTTTATCACATAAATAACTAATCAATAATAAAACACATCCTTCTAAATTTGAGTTTGAAAAAAAAAAGAAAAGTAAAATATAAAACAAACACAGCCTTCGACTGCGTTTGAAACAAACCCATGGTTTGTTATTTAGTTAAACACTCTTATAATAAAACATTAAAATTAATAAAAACACCTACACCCATTACATGCCGGCAAACAGTCGCTATCCCAGAGGGTGGTCGGAAGTCACCGTAATGGCGCACGATTGTGGATCTAGCCGATCGTGCACCGTCAGAGCCGATCTAGCCAAATCTAAGGCCAAAGATCTAGCCATCGTTGGCCAGATCTTTGGCCAGATCTGGTTATCAATGACGACTAAGATATGACCATCGTTGATAGCATTTTTTGGCCAATCCAGGTGTGAACTAGTGGGAAAAGGCCATATCGAAGCACGATCAGCCAAATCCAGCTGATCGTGCGCCATTACGACAACTCTATCACCTCCGGCGTGGTAGCTGACTGCTGGCATTTAAGGGTGAATGTGGGTGTTTTTATATTTTTAATGTTATTGTAGAGAGTGTTTAGCTAAATTAATAAACCTAGGAGGTGTTTTTGTTATTTTTACATCTTATTCGAATAACAATCCAACTCAAATTTTCCAAAAAAATATTTAAAATAATAAACCAAACACAACCAAGTTTTGTGAAGTGAGAAGATAAGGGGAGAGAAAAGACAAGCGTGGATGAATTATAATAAGGGCAATTTTGTCGAAAATCAATGTCAATTTTGAAATTGGCTTTTAAAAAGGGGTCATTTAAGTGATTTCACAAAATAAAACTAGCTTGATTATGGTCCAGACTTTGAGTTGACCAGACAGATACCTCATTACATTGCCTCTCAGATTGAAACAGTGTGTCTAGTCATCACATGAGGTGAATCGAGACATATGATTGGCTCAAATACTTAAGTTTGATTCAGCCCAGTTTGTGTTTGGAGCTATTTGAGGACATTTCCCATTTGACGCCATAATTTGAACTAACACATTTTAGATTGGTAAAGTGAAAAATAATAGAATATTTACTATCTAATATGTTTGTTTAAATAATGTTGTGTAGGGCAGCATTGAATGGGTGGTGAGGTAAGCCAGAGGTAGACCAGTCTAGTAATGGTCCAGTACCCTTCACATGAGACAATGATTTTAAAAGACTGTAGCACAGAAAAACATTGGATCAACTAGGTACCCGCCCGCTTGACCACATCCAGATTCAAAGACACAATCGTGAGTCCTGACCCTAATGCTTTATGAAGTGATTGATTACAAATTTGAATTAAAACTTTTCAAGTTTTAACCAGGATCGGATGTGAACGTAATTCATTGTTGCCTTTGACAATCAAACGTTTTCACTTGCCTTTCCTTTCTGGGAAGTCAGAAAACGGAGAATCTGTCTTTGTCTGCTTTCATTGAGCCTCACATATCAGATGATGTTACCAGTCAGCAAAATTTCGATTCGACTAATTCAATTTCATTTCCATCATTAATGCAGGCTAAGGTTGGGACAGGGACAAGCTAAATTTGGGCAACTCAACATTTGTCCCAATCAATAAGGAGAGCCTAGTGACACTTGAACTAAACCATTATATAGTCACCGGAGAGAGGGAAGATATCTATGTCACTGACTGAATCCACATATCAATACAGTTAGATACTAACTAATTCCACAAATACAAAATCAGGACAAAGAAAGCTCACTCATACAACACACACCATTCTTCTTAAAAACCATAATGGCCAAACCAACACTTTCAAAAACCCTGCCAAAACAAACCTCTTCCGTATTGCATTCTGCAACTGATATGATACTCATGGATTTAATAAAGATGAATGAGGAAACCTCCAGATTGCAACTCTTAAACCGCACCCCACCCACCCCCCGATAAATTTGCAAGTGAAGTCCTTGATGAAACAAAATGGGGTCGTTCAGTTCTATTTAGATATGTAAATGCAAATTAATGGATGCTTCAAGATGATTCAAAAGGGTTGTTTTACAGATAGTGAAAGTTCTATATCTCTACCGTTTTCATCTCAAGTTCGTACTTCATGAGAATCGGAGTAGTTGAAAAGGGAAAGTTTCCAGACTTGGGTTCAGCTAAGTTTAATGAAAAACGCAGCTTGCCCATTTCGTTTCCTAAGATACATAAAGTAAAATTTGATGTTTAATGGTCGGACTGCTCCCTGGAAAGAAGAAGCCCTTTCAATTATTGGTCAAAAACAGTGTGTTAGGGCCAACATTGGTCAGTTCTAATGTTAGCCATTCAACAAAGTTTCATAGAATGTCATAGAAGATTTACCAGATTAGATTATAATTTGATGGCCCTACAAGAAGCTTACTGAGACAACATAAAATCAGTTGGAACTTGGAAGTGCTGCATCAAATCTCTTATCAAAATTATGAGGCTGTACCTGTTACTTTACAGAGCTCAGACGATGGCAAGTTCCTATTCCCAGTAAGAGGTTTGTCGAAAGTCAACCATCCTCAATTGGGCCATGGTCCATGGACTGGTAACGGCTACTTTGCATTTAAATAATTTAAAAGGGTTTTTGATAGTATAATATTTTTCCTTGAAGGACAGGAGGAGTGAGAGGAGACTCGGAGAGTGGATGTGTATGCAAATGAAAGTGAAGTAATTACTTGTTTACAGAAGTTGACAGAGGCAGTGAATGCTGAATGGACAAAATAAGGAGATAAAAGAGAAAAGAAAAGAATAAAAAATTGAAGGAACAATAAATGAGAGTGAAGAAGATGAGGAAGAAATGCAAGGAGGCATTAATGGAGAAGACAAGACCATTAAATATTTGCTGAGAAAGCAACCTAATGGCTTGCGTTTATCGCTGCAATTGTCTTTCCCTCATCTTTTCTTCAGACTGCCTTCAATTCATCGCTTAGACTTATCTCCTGCAACCCAACTCCCCAGATCCCATTTAATGCTCTCTCTTTCTCCATGGGTGTGGGTGTGTGTGTGTGTGTGTGCGCGCATTAAGTAAATGTAAAAGGATAAAATTATATAAAAAAGTTGTCTTCTACAAAACTTTACCGCAGTTCCCATGAGACAAAACCATGGTTTTTTTTCTTTGTTAAAGGGCCAAAAACATATTTAGTGGAGAATCCATCAAGTGATTAAACAGGCAAGAAAATGCCTATCATGGGAGTTGATATTAGATTCTCATTGTCTTATTCTTCATAATTGTAGCTTGTTGAACTCAGAACCCAGTTGTTGAGTTGGATTGTTGAACACTGAACTGCTGCCGGCTGATGAGACCTCTGTTCCTCCTGTTTGTGAGGGCACTGAAGAAGTAGAAGATGATGTTGAAGCTTCCTTCATTGATGGTTGATTTGTTGACGGGGTTCTCATTGGTGGCGGTGCTGCACAAACTGGGATTACTGATCTAATTTGAACTGCTGGTGCAATCCTGTGAGGATTGAATCCTCCAGTGTACATACTTCTTGTCATGTGAGAAGCTAAAGGAGTCCTAATGGGAGTTGATGTAGTGATTGGAGATGGATTTAGTGACCCAAAAAGCCTATTATTATTGATGTGGGTTGTGTTATTAAGCATAGAACTGTTAAACTTGCTGGTACTAGGTTGACGAAAGCGCTTGTATAAAGAACTTGTTCCATAGACATGACTTGAATTTGAATTGCTTGAACCCTCCTTGTCGATGTGTTTCTTGATTATATCTTGTTTCCCACCAAGCCATTCTTCCTCATTCCTTTGATGTTCTTCCATTATTGAGTTGCCCTTAACTTGCTGTGGAATAGGCCTATTTGATGGGTAGGCTAATGTATGTGAAGTTGGTGGTAAGATCTTTGAAGTTGATCTAGGTGGAGGTGGAGGAAGAAGAGATACAAAGCTGTTTTGTTTTTGTGTTGAAGTTGAACCATCTAAACCAGAAGAATCCATTAACAGATCCAGGAGCCTCCACTGTTGATGCAGTAAAGAACTAGTGGATGAAGAGGCGACATTCTCTCTAGGACCCCTAAACATTCTCCTTCTCGCTTGGTTTTGATCCCTCCTCCTAGCATTTCTGTTTTCATATTTAGTTCTAAAACTTGACAGAACCCTTGCCACAATAGCTTGATCCTGTTCTTCACGAATCTCTAAATCTTTATTTGTCAATGAATCCAAGTTTGGCACTGCACAATATGGGTATTGATATTTAATGATGCCAAAATGCTAATGTCTAATAAGAGAAAAATACCAAAAAAAAAAAAGGGGTAACAAGAATATACTTCTTTTCAAGGCAGACCAAGCTGCAATTGCAGCATTCTTCTCAGCCTGCTTCTTTGTCTTGGCTGGTTCACCTGTAAAATTCATACCAGCAAGCTCCACAGTGCAAGTAAAAATGGGGACATGACCGGGGCCTGATCTCACGGTGGTATATACAGGGAGGTTCAATCCAGCCCTGTGAGCAGTTTCTTGAAGAAGATTCTTATAAATTCCAGTCTCATCCTTAATTACATACCAAAAAGAGAGAAACAAAAATAAGATGGTAGAAATAATTGAACAGAATATGTTATCTCTTAAACCAATAAAGAACAAATGAACTTACAAGAATTCTAGCAGTTAGAGACCTTGAAGGACCTCTTGTAGAGAGTACATTGAGAGCAACTTCAGCAGCTGCATGCTCAGCCTGTCTTAATGTGGTACAGTAGCTTGGACTTTCAAAGATCTCACCATTAAAATTTACTGAAGCTTTGAATCTTGGAGCGTGATCAGGGCCTTCTCTGACGCAGGCATAAGAAGGAAGATTGAAACAGCTTCTTTGTGCAAGTTCCTGCAGTTGATTCTTAAACATATCTGCCATAAAACAAATGAGAGGGATATGAAAACCACACACCAACCAAGGACTGAGAAGAAGAAACAAACTTTAACTCCTCAAAACAAAGACAAAAAAATGAAGAAACTCACCTACTTCACCTTATTTCTCACTCCTACATTGGCATGGATGTGTGGTGTCTCAGTACAAAATCATCTGAAACTAATGTACTCTTATACCAAGAACAAAAAGAAGACAGTCAAGTGAAAAATGTTAAAATAGAAAAACCTTGAGCTAAGAGGTTTTAAAAAGATCAAGTACCTCTGTTTAAGCTAAGAGGTTTTAAAAAGATCAAGTACCTCTGTTTCTTTTTCTTTTAACTTGGATTTTATGACGGTTTTTAATTCGAGAAAGCTTTCCCAATGGAATAGAGCACACATTTCTAACAGTTAAAAAGCCAAGAATTAAATTGCCCTTAGTGGGGGGTAGGGAGTTATTGACAATTTACTTAGAGTTAGGGGTATGTCAAATATTACATAAAACTCCCTGTATTTTCTGAGTATTAAAGCGTACCCTTGATTGTTTATCTAAAAATAAAGAGAAAATCACTTGATTGACCCGTTTTCAAAAGCCCATTTAAAAAATGGATTAACAAATAAGAAGACAAAATTACCCTTATTCTAAGTATCACCTAAACTTAAACAAACTACAGTCACGTAAACTTCATTCATTTCTGCCTCCAATTGAAATTCGAAATTTAAGAGCAAAATTTCTTCAGTTTCAATTGAAGTGAGTCCTCAATGGAGTTTGCTTATGTATTACCTGGGGTGAAGAGACGATCACAATGTGATTTTTTGTTTTTTTTTTATTATGGGATTGGAAGAAAAATTAAAATTCCTCTAGTTTCCATTGTATAGATAAATGATTCGTTTCACCCAAACTTATTAAGCGCATTCCTTGTTGTTTATTGTATGGTTACAATGATGACATATTGAATTATTTCACATTAAAATTTTAAATATAAAATTCAATTAATTAATATACCTAGAATTAAGAAGAAAAAAAAAAGTATACTTATGTAATAAATACACTATTATAAAGTAAGATTTAAGTAATTAACACGTTATGTAAGACGAATAAAGCCGATTTAAATAATTTGATAAAATTTGTTCTATAACATAATTTACTGGAGAAATTGTTAACAAATTTATAAGGATGTGTTTATGGAGACTTTTAGATATGAATATAAAGTTTAAAGGGACTTTACTACACAATGTGTTATTGAACGAACTACATATTCCTGATGCTTTGCCAATGGAGATTTGATTTGAGGTTGACGGTAAGAAACTTAGTTTTGGACATTATGAGTTTGGGTTAATCTCTAGACTACATTTTGGAGCTATCCCAGAAGAAATTTTGATGAATATACATAAATAATACATGGGAAAACCAGGATTTAGGACATGATGTCAAGGTATATTCTTTCACAGCATGCGAGAAAGAATTGAAAATGTTTTTGTCTTTCAAAATATAGATATACTTGTAACTGACGCAGGAATGAGTATGACCATAGTCATTATGACCTATATAAAGTATAAACAAAATAATTTCATTAATAAAACAATTTCACATTAAGTTAATGTTTAAGTAATTAATATAATTAAAAGTTTTGTTTTTTTATATCAAATATAATTAATTAATATTACAGTTGTATATATCAAACTAACATTATCAATTTTATCACATAAATAACTAATCAATAATAAAACACATCCTTCTAAATTTGAGTTTGAAAAAAAAAAGAAAAGTAAAATAATAAAACAAACACAGCCTTCGACTGCGTTTGAAACAAACCTCATAGGTTTGTTAATTTAGTTAAACACTCTTATAATAAAACATTAAAAATTAATAAAAACACCCTATCCACCCATTACATGCCGGCAACCAGTCGCTATCACCAGAGGGTGGTCGGAAGTCACCGTAATGGCGCACGATTGGTTGGATCTAGCCGATCGTGCACCGTCAGAGCCGATCTAGCCAAATCTAAGGCCAAAGATCTAGCCATCGTTGGCCAGATCTTTGGCCAGATCTGGTTATCAATGACGACTAAGATATGACCATCGTTGATAGCATTTTTTTGGCCAAATCCATGGTGAATCTAGTGGGAAAAGGCCATATCGAAGCACGATCAGCCAAATCCAGCTGATCGTGCGCCATTACGACAACTTCTATCCACCTCCGGCGATGGTAGCTGACTGCTGGCATTTAATGGGTGAATGTGGGTGTTTTTATTATTTTTTAATGTTTTATTGTAGAGAGTGTTTAGCTAAATTAATAAACCTAGGAGGTGTTTTTGTTATTTTTTACATCTTATCTCGAAATAACAATCCAACTCAAATTTTCCAAAAATACTATTTAAAATAATAAACCAAACACAACCAAGTTTTGTGAAGTGAGAAGATAAGTGAAGAGAAAAGACAAGCGTGGATGAATTATAATAAGGGCAATTTTGTCGAAAATCAATGTCAAGTTTTGAAATTGGCTTTTAAAAAGGGGTCATTTAAGTGATTTCACAAAATAAAACTAGCTTGATTATGGTCCAGACTTTGAGTTGACCAGACAGATACCTCATTACATTTGCCTCTCAGATTGAAACAAGTGTTGTCTAGTCATCACATGAGGTGAATCGAGACATATGATTGGCTCAAATACTTAAGTTTGATTCAGCCCAGTTTGTGTTTGGAGCTTATTTGAGGACATTTACCCATTTGACGCCATAATTTGAACTAAACAATTTTAGATTGGTAAAGTGAAAAGTAAATAGAATTATTTACTATCTAATATTGTTTGTTTAAATAATGTTGTGTAGGGCAAGCATTGAATTGGGTGGTGAGGTAAGCCAGAGTTAGACCAGTCTAGTAATGGTCCAGTTACCCTTCACCATGATGACAATGATTTTAAAAGACTGTAGCACAGAAAAACATTGGATCAACTAGGTACCCGCCCGGTTGACCACATCCAGAATCAAAGACACAATCGATGAGCCCCTAAACCCTAATGCTTTATGAAGTGATTGATTACAAATTTGAATTAAAACTTTTCAAGTTTTAACCAGGATCGGATGTGAACGTAATTCATTGTTGCCTTTGACAATCAAACGTTTTCACTTGCCTTTCCTTTCTGGAAAGTCAGAAATCGGAGAATCTGTCTTTGTCTGCTCTTCATTGAGCCTAACAATTATCGAATCAGATGATGATGTTACCAGTCAGCAAAATTTTGATTCAACTAATTCAATTTCATTTCCATCATTAATGCAGGCTAAGGTTGGGAACAGGGACAAGCTAAATTTTGGGCAACTCAACATTTGTCCCAATCAATAAGGAGAGCCTAGTGACACTTGAACTAAATCCATATATTATAGTCACCGGAGAGAGGGAAAGATATCTAATGTCACTGACTGAATCCACATATTCAATACAGTTAGATACTAACTAATTCCACAAATACAAAATCAGGACAAAGAAAGCTCACTCATACAACACACACCATTTCTTCTTAAAAACCATAATGGCCAAACCAACACTTTCAAACACCCTGCCAAAACAAACCTCTTCCGTATTGCATTCTGCAACTGATATGATACTCATGGAATTTAAATAAAGATGAATGAGGAAACCTCCAAGATTGCAACTCTTAAAACCACCAAACCAGATTACTTCCATTCCTACAATCCATCTTCTGTCACAGCTCTGGCTATGTCTGTCTATTCTCAGTCGTCAAGTTGCTGCCATTACTACAACTCCCACCTGCACGGTTTGATTCCCCCACTCTAGCAGCCAAAGCAAGAACTTCAGGTGACATGTCCCAGCTTCCACTCTTTCTTCCCCAACTAGATCGCCTAGGATGTATTCCAGCACGCTCCCCTTCTTCCACCGTGGTCCTTATGTCTGGGGACAATTCAGCTAGTTCACCATCTTTAACATTTACTCGATCGTTGTTGTTAAGTTGCCCTTCAGAGAGATCAGCCCCAGGGCCAATATCTCCCCACACTGTTTTCCTACCCATTTCGATGTCATCCACAGCTTTGCCCATATTTGGACTCATAAAACCCCCACCCACTGGTCGAACTGGTAACCCAGGTTCCCTTGGCACCTTTGCTCTGAAATTGTTCTTTGACGAGGGTATGCTTGAAAAAAATATTTCATTGAAGTTTCCCATCAACCCTTTGTTATAGGGGTTGATTCTCCGATCATATCGGTATCTAAAATTCTCATAAGTAGTCTACAAAAGTAAGACAGATAAGGGGAAAGTTTTACAAATTAGAACACTAGAATAAACACAATAGCGGATGAAAGGATTTTTTAACAGCAGAGGAAGAGAATCTTACCTGATTTGTACTAATGAGATATAAATGAAAGGCAGTAAGGCCACCAACAAACCACATAGATATGAAAGTGTAAACTATTAGAACGATTGATGCAGGGGTTTTGATCATGGCTCTCCAAATTGTTGTCTCCTCCGAATCCATTATCCTCCTGATGTAGATCCAGCAAAATGCGAAAACATATATACAAAGAAGGGTAGTCGAGAAGACAAATATGAAGAAAAATCGATAATTCCTCTGCAGTAAAAATAGAAAATTTTCAGATCATTAATTAAAGTATGCATGTCATGAGTCATGTTGGTGAAGATAAGTCTAAAACACCATAAGACCAACTCCAACAATCTTCAACTTCCAGCATTTTAAACAATTTTAATCTACATAATGGTCAAGTTTTAGAAAAAAGAATCATAGGCTCATGAGCTCCAACTCATCAGACTTTATGGGAGCATCAAGAGTGGAAATGTATGTTTCACCCTCCATTCTCCTTCTTCAAGACAGACCAAACAAGATATATACAAGCTCAAGAAGTTTGGGCACACGTATTGATAGCCTCCCACCAAAGTATTTCACTAATAAAACATCTAAAAGAATATGGGCATCATTCATCCTCTCCAAAGCTAACTGACACCTTCTAGCCAACTAGAATACTAATGAACTCAAAAATGCTACTACTATGTGCTCATCAAAAAAGAAATGGCGAAAATAACTAATGGAAGGAACATTACTCAACAGATCTCATTAACATACTTCTGAACAAATGATCACTTACCAGCCCAATACATTGCCCAACCCAAGGGCAGTGGTGATCAAAACGTTCCACACAGTTATTGCAAATTGAGCAGTGTGAGCAGCGAGGAGGTCTATAAAGCATGCAAGTATCACAATATTTAATCTTCATCGTGACCCCATTGACCTCCACTTCCTTCACACGAGGCAAACGTAACTGTGGAGTTTGGCCAGCCCCAACATCTACACTCCCATCAAAGCCTTCTGGCTCTGGAGGGTGTGCATTGCGTGGAATTATACCAGGATCTCTTCCCGATGTCAACAGAAGAAGAAGTAAATCCTGAAATATCAAACATGAGTCAGGGTCCAGCATGAAAAAATTAAATTAACTTCACTTCAAGGTTAACAGGTAACTGATAAAGTTTGTTAAAGCTTCACATACAGGGCCCATGAAGGCCTCCTAGTGTTGATTGAGGCAAATTGAGTTAGAAAACAATACAGAAGAAACATCACAAGCGAAGAAATGCAAACATGAACAATATGCAAGGTGCAGATGCCTGTGTCAATGACTATGATGTATATTGAACTTGTTTAAAAGGGAGTTGAAATGTTGATGATAAACTACAATTTTACTGTTCCAGAAAGGTGACAAGAAATGGCAAACCAGCCACTACCATTCCTAGAAATGGACACAGCAGAAAGCACATTCCTCTTCTAAACATTTCACAGCGGTAAGACATGCACTGTATCAACACAACCATAAAATCCTATTACTTGACAAGATCTTTCAACCATTCATGCAAATCAAGCCCACTCTTTACCCCCAGTGCATCACTCCCCAGATTCCTCCATAACTCACCATGCTCATTCCTCTGCCTCTAGGATTAAAGACCACAAATTTTGTCCAAACTATCAATCCTATCATAGAAACCCCTAAAGTCGGCTTGCAAAGCTAATCTTAGCAACTACCCAACTTGCTCATGAGTAACAGGAAATCCAGAGCCAGTTCCTACTCATTTGGCACATCATAAGGAATATAACAAGGCAACAACCATTATTGATATTACTGCAATATGCAAATAACTTCATAAAGAGCTGGAAAGAGAAATATACTCACATAAACAGTGAATAGTACTGTAACAACCATTATTGATATTCCCCAATGATGAGAATAATCATCCATCAATTTTCGAGCAACAAACACACAAAAAACTGTGACAGGAGCAACAATGAGAAATATAGTCAAACCCAGCGATCTTACATCTGGTCCAAATATAAACCTCCCTTGAAGAAAAAATATCTGCAGAACAATAAAATCGATAAATGTCTCAACAGGCTAATTCAGAAATCTCAGAAATCACAACTAAGAATTAAAAATGCCTGATCAAAGCCTAGACTGAACAAGGCTCAACCCCTGCACCTTAGTTCTTTAAACAGAGTTTCTCAATCTATGATCTACTAAATCTATCTGCCTTCAGCATGAAATCAATTGATACAACCACAATTCTAAGCATTATCAATTCGACAACAATTTTATCATTACAGAACCATTTATAAACATTAAACGGCGTTCAACAAAAAAACTGCTCTTTTTTAATGCAATACAAAAAACCAGTAGGCCATTTGTCAATACGAATTCGAACTAAATGAATTAAACTCTTTTCTGGCGATCCACAACAGCCTCAGTCTCCCACAACTTAGGTCCTGCTACAGTGCTACTCCACTAATCTTACTTAAAAAGTAGTCAACAATTATATTGTTTACCAACCATTTATAAGTTGAATGAAGCCATTTTTAAGTTGAATGAACCATTTACAGAAACAGTAACATTATATCATTATTCTCGCTAATATTAAAGAGAAGCAAATTCTAAGACACAAAAATAGAAAATTTTCGCCTACTCCGCTAAAAATAGAAACATTAAAAGGAAGAAAAAAAAACGTAAAATAAAAAAAAGAAAGGCTTACATTGCTTCCTTTCCAATTTTGATAGACTCGTAAATCACCCGACCCGCCCGCGGATCTCGGATCCGATCGCTGAGGTGGCGGCACCACATACATCTCTCTTTCACTCAGCTTAAACCACAATAAACATAACACGAAATGGTGATCTCGCGAGCTTAAATGACAAGAAGCGAGTTAAGGAGAGTCAGAAGGCGGCGAGTTGAAAATAGACGGCGACAAGACATGAGATAGAGAGAGAAAGGGAGAGGTGAGTTAGGGTGAGGTTGATTAACAGAGATTCTGATTGCGTTTTGTTGTCTGCGTTATCTGTGCTTTACAGGAGGGTAGTAGTGACGTGGCGAAGAGTGATTGGGGGAGGGGCACTGAAATGGACCGGCTGTGGTGGGTGGACCGGTTGCTTTAATAACTGAGATGGAGAATGAATATGACTGCTCTCTGCTTTGCTCATGATAATACACTTAAAACAAGATCCCCCATGGGTTCTCTACTTCTCTCCTTTTATCTTCTTTTATCTCCACCCTCTCTTTCCGGATACTTACAATTATGCCATCGATCCCTCTTTAATGGTACGTTATTAAGGAAATATTTCCCTCAGTTTAAATTATTTTTGGATATGAATCTTTAATACATGTGTTAAAAAGATTCAAAATATAATTAGATATAGTTTTGCCTATCGAAACTAATTTTAAAAAATTAATTAGTCAAATTAGATTTCAGGTGAGTTAATCATAAAATCTTCCTAGAACGTCACATTCATATTGACTTTTATTATATAAAATTATTTATTTTATTTTATTTTATTAAATTAAATTAAGATGTATTTGTTTACCTTAATTTTCAACTACTAATTGATTTTTTTTAATAGATAATGTTATTATAATAAAAATCATTAAATAACATAAAAATATTAAATTAATTAATTAAACAGCCATGATGACACCCTCCCTACACATTTGGTGCCATGATAGATACGCACATAAAAAAAAAAGAATATAAAATTATACATTGAGATTTGCAAAACGAGGTGGGGGCTACCCTATGCCACTTTTTACCAGCAAATGCATCAGCCTCAGCCGAACCAAATCCGTTTTTTATTAATCCCATAATTATGGCTAATATTTAAAATTAATAAGTTACAGAACCTAGCTACAAATTGGCCCATTTGGGCCGCCCACTACTTTGAAATTGAAATACCAAATTATTTTAAGACCTTCATAATATATATCCCTTTTTGTTTTTACAATTTTCATGCACTTTCTTTTTTAATTATTTACATATATAATTATTTGTAATTCAGTTTCTAAAATACATTACTCAATTACAGGTGTACTTTAATCCATTAGATTTTATTAGAAGATATTTATATTAATTTCACAGTTTACTTAATATAAATATTTAATATATTTTCTGAACTCTGTACTAGTATAATTGTGAGGGCGTTATCTTGCCTTCAACTCTAAGATGTTAAGTTTATATAGTACAGTAGTAATTTATTCCAATTTGAAAACAGCCTTCATAAATTTGATGGGATGAAATTGATTGGAATTAAAATTTTGTGGATTATTTTGTACGACTTTAATTTTTTGAATTAGTTGAATTATCTTCAAGGAAATTAAATAAAATTGATTAGCTTGATCAAAGGAGTTATTATAATTTATACCGTTCAAATTTAGCGAAACATTAAACACACCTACTATTTTAGAAAAATATTATATACCACTTTATGATACTATTCTTAAAGGATATGAGGCATCATAAATAATATTCTAAGGGTGTAAAATACTTTTCAATAACCATGGATAGTTTTTATGAGCGAAGAATATTACTATATAAAGTATTTTTATGCAGAAGAGAACAAACAAAGTAAAAGGTTCTATGGTGTAGTGGTTAGCACTCTGGACTTTGAATCCAGCGACCTGGGTTCGACTCCCGGTAGGACCTTTGCCCTACTTTTTGTAAGAAATTTAAACGGCATAAGAACAAAAATCTATAAGGAATTAAAATGGGGTTAACTGTAAGAAAGAAAAAATCTATAAGAAATTGAAACTGTAAAAAAAAACTTGTCATTTTCTCATTAGAAGAACAATAGTGACGTGAGGAGAAATTTTTTTTCCACGAAATGAATTTGAAGCAGTGTTGTTTCCTTGTTAGGAGGAAAATCAGTTTCGTTTTATCAATAGCCCAAAAGAATGAAAAGGAATAACAAAAATGGTGTCGTTTATCATTAGGAGAAAAAAGGAAATAAATTAAAAACGGTGTTTTATCCACGAAATTAAAGAGTCAGGAAATTTAAAAAGATAAAAATATTTTCCGTTGCCGGGAATCGAACCCGGGTCTCCTGGGTGAAAGCCAGATATCCTAACCGCTGGACGACAACGGATTTTGTTTTGTACGCTTCAAAAACATTAAATTAAAAATTTATTATTATTATGACAATTTCATATCAAACTAACTGTGCTGTAAAAAAAAAAAAAAAATTAAACAATACTGCACATTTTAAAATATAATATAAAATTTCTTATATCAGTTTATCACTTATATATTACTGTTGAATGAGATATAATTTAAGATGAATATTTTGAAAAACTACATTCAATGCATAAACTTTGTGTGTCATCCAAAAGTGAAAGGCATCACCAAACTAGTTAATAAGCATAGAAGCTTCCTCCTATTTTATTCCAATTAGCTTCCTTCACTCATTGATGCATCCATTACAAGTTCTCAATATGGGAACTTTCACACAACTGAAGTCCAGTTTCCCAGCAAAAATTGGAGAATTATTTTATTTATTCTTCATATGTCCATTAGATTCCTTGTCGAAAAAGCCTAAATTAATTACAGGCATTAAACACACTTGAGTAGTTATGGCGTTTTTCCAGAGTGCCAAAGCTTAAAAGATGTCAACTCAGAAGTATAATGATGAAATGGTATCATGATTCATGACTGTTACAAATAGTATATGCTTTCCATTATGACTTATGAGACAGAAGGGAGCACACATTCTTGTTTCCTGACACAAATTTAACTTGGTTTTCATTATATAATGTTATTGTATTATAAACCATGTGGTTATTTCATTTCTGAGTTCTAAAAACTGCAATGCAGAAAATTCCAATTGCCAGAATGCATCTTCAGATGATCATTTTGCAGTTGGTGACATGGTCAACTCCTACTTAATGGTTTTGATGTGAAATTTGGAAAGGAGATGTCGATACCCTTCTCTCTGCTGTACTTAAAAGATCAGAATGAATAATTTCAGTGAATAATATTCAAGTGGATATCTAAATATTATGCAACATGAACAAACCAAGAGCTGGAGTTTCCTTTATATTTTCCAGAATTATACACAATTCACATAAAGCAAAGAAATGTTGAAGTACCTGAAGCACAGAGCTATATAGCAGTAATTGAGATAGCAAATAACTTATTCCCTTTCTATAGTGATAATATTAATGGTGTTCAATCAGCAAGAAAGTCAATCTGGTGAAGATATATACTCATTTTATTATGCAGCATCAGCTTTAACGATGATCTTACGACTTTCTCCACAGTGCTCAACACTTAAACCTTTGCTATGCTTCAGTATCCTTGCAATGTCTTCCAAACTATTATCCATGCTGAGGTTTGTTCACCCAACCGGAGGAAATGATTCAACAGGTGGGATTAAACTCTTAACACTGTTTCAAGGCAAAGGAATGGATAGCATGAATGGTCTCAAACTTATTTTTCTTTTCATTCAAGTTAGATATTCTAAATCTTTTGGATTTCCTTAAATTTCAATAAAACAAAGAGAAAAGCTTAAGCATCTGTTGCAGGTTAATTACCTGTTTACCCTATCATAACTACTCTCCATTTTTTTCCAACCTTTCCCGTCTTAAAGCTTCTCCCCATGTCCTTGCCTCTGCAACAGCTCGCTCCCTTTCTGCATCTTTGTCTATAATCTTGGTTGTTTCCTTTGGAGAGCTATGCTCAGACTTCTTCTTACGAGGAATTTTGGTGGCCTCATTTGGGTCATACTGATGATTCACCAAGTAATCAAGAGCAAGAACCACTTCATTGATAGGTGGACGGAGAGAAGGAGTCTCCTGGATGCACATGAATGCAACATTTAGAGCCTTTTTCAAGGTAGATTCTGAGAACTGTCCTCTCAGCATTGGATCTGCTAACTGCAAAAGATTCTTGCGGTCTTTGAACCTTGGACGTACCTACAAACAAATAAAGTCTGACTATACTCAGAATAAGCTTTAGTTGAGAAATAATAATGGCATGGTTTCAATTTAATATACTCAAAAGCTGAAACCATCTCCAGGTTCAGACAATAGAATTGGAGAGCTATCAGTATAGTTGCCAATAAAGCCATCATATATATGCAACTGACTGCCTTTCAGCTTAAGATATGGCATCTTCTGAAAGAATTAGAATCCTTCAATGTCTAAGTTTCAGGAATTGGAGTTGTCAAACAAAGACATTGATCCTGTAAGACATAAAGATCAACAAAAACAAGCATAGTTACTTGAGATAATAGTGGGGCTTAGCTATTCCCTAAGACTACTTAAAAGGCCCCACTAAAAGGTAGTGGTTTCTTCTTTCGGTAAGGGTGAAGTCTCTAAGGGGCTATATTGACTTCGCTGGTAATTCTCTGAAGAGCTAATATCTCCATTGACAAGCAAATCAAATATTTAAGAAGTTATGCAAAGTGATAACCAAGAATTTTAAGAGGTGTACTACCCAATTGACAAGCATTCTTTCACGACCGAGACTATCATCCATTGCCTGACGTCCAGTAATCAGCTCCAACAAGACTACACCGAAACAGAAAATGTCTGATTTGATGGTCAATTTTCCAGTTGTGGCATACTCAGGAGCACAGTAACCATGGGTGCCCATGACCCTAGTGGAAACATGTGATTTATCCTCAGTTGGACCAAATTTTGCAAGTCCAAAATCTGAGAGTTTTGGGTGGAACCCCGGACCCAGTAATATATTAGCTGATTTTAAGTCCCTATATATAACAGGAGGGTTTGCTTGATTGTGGAGATATTCCAATCCCTTGGCGGCACCAGCAGCTACCTTCATCCTCGTATTCCAATCCAGAGGGTCCTGATCAGGCGCAAGATCTGCACAAGCATAAATTTTAAATTTATGTATATAAAGATTTAAAAAGGATGGTACATGCTCAGAGTTGTCAGTGTGATGTAAAATAGATATCAAACTAGTCATATTAAATGTTTGGAAAAGTATAATTTCATTGGTCCAAAGACATTGAAAAAGTCCCTGGAGCTATTTTGCAGACAGAATCCACCTTTGATTTTTGTAATATTTCAAATATCATTGATTCATTTATTTATTTTAAACAAATAAGATCGAATCATTTCATTTTGAATGTAAGTGAAGCACAACTTATCTTACTGTTTATACTAACAGAATGAAGATTTAATGTCTACTCACTGTCACCCATGAGATTGACCAACAGTTTTTCTCCCTAAAATTATAGAAATAGAAAATTGTACTGATTAAAAGAAACCAAAGACATCTCTGGACTCAAATATTAATAGAAAAACGTTGCAGTGTCAAAATTGTTGTGGGACAAAATTAATATGAGGTGAAGGAAAATTTCTAGTCCAGAAATATGTACGCAGAGCTATCCAAGTTTAAAATCCTCTTTGAAACCCGTGACTGTAAAACAATAGAAATTTCTGCAGGTAAGATTGTCCCATAATCTAATGATGTCAAATAAAAGAGTTAAAAGTTCTTAGGAGATCTGAAATCCTGCTTGATAGTGCAAAAGAGAGGGAATGAAAATTAACTATTTTCAGGCTAAAGTTGCCTGTTTCCAAATGAGCAATAAATAGGAGGCTTAACAAAAGTTTCTTCTCATAATTGGTATAGAGAGGAGATATCAAGCAGATAAATCTTTTCAGCTCAAACTCCTTGATACCAGGCTATCTGTAATCCAAGTATGACCAACAGGAAGCACATACAACTGCTGCAACCCCTTCTCTCCCAAAAAATCATAAGAAAATATGTCTTCTAGCATATGAACTATTAGTTTGAAATACTCTTTTTTTTTTTCTCTAATAGTTTTTTGAACACCTGAGAACCTTTTTCTTTCTCTAATAGTTTTTTGAACATCTAAAACCAGAGATAAAATAAGACCAAGGGCACTGAATATATTACCATGGAGGTGATCTTCCAAGGATCCTAGGGGCATGTATTCGTAGACAAGAAGACGCTGATCCCCATCGCCACAGTACCCAATTAAACTCACAAGGTTAGGGTGGCGCAAAAGAGAAAGCATGAGAACCTCTACCAGAAACTCCTTCTCCCCTTGAGCACCTGCCTTATCTAGTTGTTTGACGGCCACAGCCTGCTAAAATCGTGAAGGTGTTATACATATATAAAAGAACATTTGTTGACTTCTAAGCCATAATAGAATGAGAGAAAAACAAAAATTAGATTCTCCAAGTTAGATGATAATGAGGTTCACGAAGTTTGTCAACCATGAGCTGCAGAAAGATTACCTGACCAGTACGACTTAATTGCCCTTTATAAACAGCTCCAAATCCACCCTGCCCAATAAAGTTGTCTTCCGAAAAGTTATTCGTTGCAGCTGCAAGCTCTTCATAGGAGAATATGTGATCATCTTGATTGGTATTAGGCCCATTTTTTGGAGCTGACCTTTGCCGTCTTGACACTGAATTGATTTTTGCACTGAAAGGAGTGACATCTGATCCATTAAACAAGCACAAATATAATTAAAGACATAGGTTAGGATCAGAAAATGCACATTTGTCTCACGAAATAAAATCCAGAGTGTTTTGAATTCATATTCATTAGTGTGTTTAAATACTGATAGAAATATATCTGGGTTCTAATCCCTCTCAACTTAAAAGAAATTACCATTAATTGGTAGCTCTTTTTTTTTCATAAGTACATATTTAAATTATCACTAGAGTCATCTTATTAAATTAAATGTAATGAGCGGACTGTATCCTGCAAATTAACTTCAAATGAATGTATTGTATAACTTTAATGGAAAACACCTCTCTTTAGATGTGGTTACCTTTATTTATACATAAATCCTCCAAAATATCACCTCTGTTTTTAGTGGAAACAGTGGCATAGATCAGTTAAAGTGACAGAAATTTCATTTGCTACTAGTTGTGGAAGAAACACAGAAAAGAAAGATGCCAAGCAAGTAAATCTCTTCTATCATAGCAAGGTAGGAAGCCATTTCATTGCAACGGATTGAGCTACAACAGATCTATATGCCATATTTTTTATATGCTTGCGGCAATTATATTTGTGAAACTTTGAAATAAATATAAAAAGAAAACTGATTCTTAAACCCCTTTCGCATGTGCAATTGTTTAGAGCATTACTACTTGATCTAACAAAATGCTTCACTAAACTCAAAGCAGATAATATCCCAACTGAGAATAAACAAAACAGCTTAACTAGCAGCAATCTAAAACCACTGCTAGAAATTAGGTGCAGATGTTTGCGAGTCTTACTAATTACTAAAAAAATCATAATAAAAGGTTTCTTCAAGATCAATTTTCCAAGAGACTTGACTGAGTGGAAGAAGGCTTATGCAAGATAGAAAAAGGAAAAGAATAACAAAAGAAACAGAAACATCAGAAGTACTAAACTTTATCAGATGCCATCTCATGCAAAAGCATTATAAAGCAACTCATTGCTTTAAAAATAGATCTTGCATAACGGAGATTTATATACCTAAAGTATGGATCTAACTTTACACTATAGTGATATATGGTTGCACTAATTTGAAGATAACACAAGTAATCAATTGATTAAAAATTACAATCAACGTTATTTGCCCAAACAACAGCAAAAAATAAAGTCTATTCAGCTGCTGATTGTTGTCTTAAATTGCAATACAGATGAAATTTATGCCTACTTGAATAGTAATTGCACTCAGAATTTCTTCAATAATGTGCAACATTTGTCTTAAAAAAACCTTTCCAATTCAAAGACTCAAATTTTAGCGATTCAAGCACTTTACAATTACAACTTAGAAATGAACCAAACGTCACATTTCATCAACATTTGCTTAACTGTAATTTAGATTCATGATAAACAAACCCCATATTGTAACTCCATAAAACTGATACTTAATATCAACTAAATATAAAGAAAATTATCTGAAACTTAATTATTAGCATAATCTAACCAGACAATGAAAAACAAAAAATAAGAATTTTTTTTTAACAGGGCATATCTTATTACCATATATAACAAAATAGCTATGTGATTATATAAAGATTAAAACCCAGGAATTTAAATAAACGAAGAAAACGTAGTTGAATTATATACCAAAAAAAAAAAAAAAAAAAGGGTTAAGAGACAGACCAGAAGATGATTGATCAGGCTTGTGTATCCTCATAACATCTTCATGTTTATCACTGTTGTTGAGCTTGGTTCCCTTCTTCCTCGAACCAAAACACGGGCAACGACCCATTCGCTTGAAAGATTATTTCTTCCTTCCGTCAAAAGATGAAAGTCAAACGCGTTTTACTTTTCCAGAAACAAAAACTAAAAAACGAGACGTTTTCGTAAGGAGTGGAATCGAAATCCATCCATACTGCATGCACTCGACATAAAGATTTGGTTTTGTTTTGATTGTTTGGTTAGTTTGCACGTAAAGAGAAAGCGCAAAACATTTCCAGTTTTCCGCTGTGTAAAAGAAGGAAGGAAGGAAGAGTTATATTTTGGGAGGGAGTTTGACGGGAGTTTGTGTGTTGTATAAGTATTTCTTCTAATAAAGCAGATCACGCAGACGCTTACAAGAAAAACACTTGATTTCGTTCGTTCAAAGTATGCTACACGTAACACGGTTTCCCTTTGAATCTCATTTCTCTTTTGTTTTGTTTTGTTTTGTCAATTTTAACGTTTTACATAACGCCGTTCGTTCCTGTCGCTGAGGTGTCTGACTGTCTACAGTATTTGGTTATGGTTGTGAAAGATATTTATTTTAAATAATTAATAATCTGTTTACAGTTATGATAAGATGATTTGGGAGGATCGGCTTGATGAGTTGTCAGCATGGTATTGGTTCTTACCATAATTTCCCTTCATTTGTTTTTGTTAATTTACTTAATTGAAATGCAATTAACTTAAAGAATAGACTTGACTTTTGTTACCATGTTTGTAAGCGTTGATTATTTTGGTATTTTGCATGATAAATTAGGTAGTTTAGCATAAGCATATCAATCTAGAATATGAAGTTACATTATTTATATTATTGATGTTGAAGTGATTTAATGGCATATTGGATTTAAGCATGAAAGGTTGATAGCGTAAGTTGAACCCATTTCATGTTTAAGGATGGTAGAATATTAGCAGTAGTTACTCTCTCTGTCAACTCAACTGGGTTGTTTAATACTTTTCTTGCAAGTAAAGTTGACCATATTTCATTTAAATGATACTGGGAATTTTACAGTAAATAAATAAAACCCCAATCTTGTAAATCAAGTATAATTTTCAATGGTTTTTTTTTGAGAAGCCACTTACATTCCTTTGAGATTTATATACCTGTATATTATAATAGTACAAAAGAAAAAACTTCCAAAAGGTTATGCATAATGTGTCTTCTATAGTTTGTTTTTCGTATTTTGGATAATTAGGTAAAACAATCAAGTAAGGTAATCTAAAACTTAAAAGTTATCTATAGATAGTCCAAGAAATTCGAGCTAAAAAAATTGCTATGCATCTAGGGTAAGGTTGATCAGGATTATTCCTTATCCAACAGTAAAGGAAACCCTAAAATAATAACATGACTTACCTAGTTTTTTGGGCTTGTAGAATATTCAATAAACCCTCAAAATTTAACCTGGACACCCCGGTTACTAAAAAGAAAAAAAACGTTAACCCTAACATTGTAATGGTAGCCATTAAAGAACTGAATAGAAATCTGCCTCTATTTCACCAAGTGGCCAAAGAACTAGGTTTCAATGCGGCTGGCACATGGAGAGCCGCCCTTTTGCAGCTGGATCCGTCACTCCAAAAGAAATGATGGAGAAAAAGCAAACCGAAAGTGGAATTAATGATCAGCATATCGGTAGATCTTCTTTCCAAAATTTTGAGTGACTATTGCTAGGCAAAAGTGAAAGAAGAAAGTGCAACCCCAACAATGGCAACTATATAATTGTAACAGTCTTCACACTATTTTTCTTAGAACTACAGAATGACTGAAGCTTATTATCGTCTATTGTGCCGAAGCCAGATAGTTGGACACCGTATGCTGCCAGCCTCTGGATATCTCGTGGGAGCGGGGATTGCCAGAGGCCATCCCACCATGCAGGAGGAAGTAGTGGTGTGAAAGCGCATTGATGGGGCTGGTTATGACAACTCAATGGCCCTGCAAATCTGTTCCATATATGTCCCCAACCAGTCTGAAACCTCAATCCTTCTCTCAACAAATTACTCTGGAAACTGCTTAAGAATGAGAAACTTAAACCAGTTGAATTATCACCTAAAAAAAAGAAAGAGATTAAGATACTTCAATATCATCCATGAAAAGGAATGACCCAGTAAGTATAAATTAAAAAAATGAAATAAGATAATGGAATGCAGGGGCATAGAAATACCGAGACTGTTTGCTGCAGCTAGTGCTGCAATCAACTGAGCATAAGTAGTCCCAACTCGCCTGAAAGCTCCAGAAACAACAGCATGTTTTGCACGTGATGCAAGAAAGAAGTCCACAAATGCAACCCATCTGGGTGCAGGGCCCCAATCCTTCGCCCTAAATTCTAAAGTATTCATTCTATTAACATCACGAGAGATACTTCCTCTGAAATGATTATAGTCAAAGTGAAGAACCTGGAAAAGGAGCAATTGGATTAGAATCAAACAGACAAAAAAATTCTGCATCTTTACAAGTGAAGCTTTGCTGATCAAAGATGATTCACTGCAGTGTAAATTACCTCTGCAAATTTACTTATATTTGGGGCGATACTTGGTGGAAAAGATGGGGTATCTGACACTAAAACTACCTTAGGTCTTGATGTCTGGTGAAGACTGTCCACCACTTTTCTAATGCACTTCAATGCTGCCTGTAAAACTCTCACAGACCTGAATATTAGAAACAAGAACATGTATCATTAATCAGCTGAAGTTTACCCGACAAGAACAATTAGACATTTCATGGCCGTCATACCTATTTGTAGGTTACAAACCATATAAGACAAGATCTTCATAAGATGTGCACAGGAAAATTTTAGATTTTGAGATTGAAGGGGTTTTAAATATTCTGTTTGAATTTGATGGTCCAGCTTTTCTTCAATAAAATCAAAGTGCCCGTCATACGTATTTGTAGGTTACAAACCATATAAGACAAGATCTTCATGAGATGTGTACAGGAAAATTTTAGATTTTGAGATTGAAGGGGTTTTAAATATTCTGTTTGAATTTGATGGTCCAGCTTTTCTTCAATAAGATCAAAGTGGAAGATACATCTTCTATGATGTTAAGGAAATTCTACAGCAGAAAGAACTACTACTTCATGGAACTTCCTAGTAAACACGTAAAGATGCATAGGAAAGATGCTGGCAAAAACAGTTGGGTTTTCAAAATGATGACATTTATAAAAAGTCCTTGGTGCGATTATGAAATAAATTTGGCCATTGTTCTTCTGAAAACTACCTATAGTATGAATTTATAGCGTTCAATAGTTTCCCTTGATAATGGTTATCACCCTAATCCAAAGATAAATTGACAGGAGAAACAAAATCTTAATAAATACCATAATTCACCAATCTCAATCATTCAATTATTAGGCATAATCGTCTCCCTCAAGGAACTAACAAAAATTTAAATTTCAGTACCTATTCGTGAGCATCCGCATATGCAATGAAACATCCGGATCCACCCCATTATTGAGAACCCAATTGACAGCTTCCTTAACATCTTCTGACGGGGATATCAGTGCCCTCATTAGCTCACCAAAGACATTAGGTCGGGCTTGGAGAGAATCTATACGTCCAAATAAATCAGAAGCTGCCATCCTCATTTGAGGGTGTACATTCTTCAAGAAGAACTGAGCTGCCACAGCATCTGTTGTGCCTTGAAACCTGCATCCTGAAGTTAGTCATGAAGCAAGGACACCTGAGACAAGCAACAAGTTGGTATCAAAGTTGTTCTCACTTTACCATATAATAGGCTGCTCCCATTTCCTCCAGTTGCTACAGAGGACATTTGTTTGTGCTGGCTTCTCAAAATCATCTATCCTCATAACCAGATGTCTTCCAAACTTCTTCACACAACCATTATGTCTCCAGAGATGCTTGACTTCTTCCAAGGTAAAGGAAACATTGGAATAAGAAATGTAATCCCCAAAAGGATATTTACCCCTGAATTAGATAAAATGAAAAAATAATCAGCAAGAGAAAAGAATCACATAATATAACTACAATTCCATACTCTATAGACTTTCTTTCACATAACATGTCGGGCCTAGGCACCAAAAGCTATTCTTATTGTTATAAGCCTGGATAGAGCTTTAGAAAAGCATTTAATTGGAGTGCTCAAAGCATTTAAATGACGTGCTCTCTTAGGCTTTCTAGTGTTGCTTCCAGCCAAAACATTCCATCTCAGCAAAGCATCTAAAAAAGTCGAGAAGTTTACATAAATTTTTTGGTGCCTATATCACACCACTACCATGAAATGACATAACTTTTGAAACAAAACACAAACATGCAGCATACAACAGAAGTCACTATTATCAAAGATGAAAATATTTAAAATGATAATAGAAAGGCTTGAGAAAGAACCAATATGCCTGGTTTGCCCAATTATTAGTGACCGGTTCAACATCACACTCAGCGCTGCACCTGTTAAGATCTTGTACATTTCGTTTCCAAAGCCTGCTTCTGATGACTTCCCCATCACAAACCCATGTCTGCAGAACTGCTCTGGTGGAAGACTACGGACTCTCGAAGCCCCTGTAATAGGTCCAACATGTGAGCTTCTCACAACTGTTTTTCCAAGCAATAGCTTGTCCATTCATATTACAACGTTTGACGAGACCTTGTATACACCTTAATAAAAAGCTAAACATGTTCACAAACCAATTAATCAAATTTCACCATAAAATTAGATATTTTATGAGGTATAAAAAAAGTGGGTTGTTGTTAATTTCCAATACTAAAAGGTACTCAGTAGAAGTGCTTTAATGTTAAACCATAAAAACTTCCTTTCATACTGTCACACTACAAATTTAACTTTAGACAAAAATGTCAAATACAATAATTGCTTTTACATGTTTTAGATGCAGTAAAATTGCATATTAAAAACAACTACAAGATTAATCATACGACAGAGGTGATGAAGGGAAATCTCATACAAGATTATTTACTTATTATAATAATTTGGCAACTAAGCTTTTGTTACAATATAGTGGATTTAACATTACCGAAATGATGTTTTTATTAACCGAAATGTCACATGAAACATCACACACTCTTCGTGTTACAAGTCATGTTCTATTACAAGTTCAATCTTCAATGTTACAAGTGTGATACGGAAAAATCTTCTATAGCTTGCATCTTCTTAGCATGATCCTTAATTTACAATCAGTTTCACGTAAATTGCCCTCATATTCACCACATAAGAAGCTGTAATTTTTACTTTCAAAGTCTTTAAGCATAAAAAATTCAGAAGCAAGTAAATCTCAACTAAATCATATTCTAGCTCATGTAAACAAAAATCAATAATAATACAAAATTAACAACAAAAAAAGAAAAAGTAGGAGCAGCTAG